TAGAATTTCTCGCCAACATGTATGAACAGAATCTGAGCTACAGCAGTATTAACTCAGCCCGTTCTGCTCTTTCTGCTATTTTACAGATTTCAGGAACTCCCAATAATACATTTGGTGAACATCCAGACGTAAAACGCTTTATGAAAGGCATATATCAGAATCGACCACCTATGCCTAGATACAATAAGACATGGGATGTTGATATAGTGCTTCAATATCTCCGTAACATGAATGACTCAGAAGACCTTTCACTCAAAKACTTAACGTTAAAGTTAGTGATGCTCATAGCACTTACTACAGCTGGCAGGGGGCAGTCACTACATTTGTTAAACATTSAAACCATGGTTAAAGAAAATAACTGTCTTGCATTTGTTATTTCAAGCAACATTAAGCAAAGTAGGCCTACAAGTTCTCCTACAGATCGTATCATAAAATTAAAGGCCTACCCATTAGAGAAGAAACTTTGCGTTTTTCACACATGTTCAGTTTATATGGAAAAAACCAGCTCACTTAGGAGACAAGAAACATGTTTACTTTTGACGCACCAGAAACCTCATAAGAGGGCTAGCAAAGACTCTATCAGAAGGTGGATACAGTCGGTTATGAGCATGTCTGGTGTGGATGTTAATGTTTATAAACCACATAGTGTACGCTCTTCTGCTACTTCTAAAGCTAAGGCAAATCATGTACCCCTTGATGGAATCATGAAAGCTGCTGGTTGGTCCTCAGCTAGCACTTTTGCAAAATTTTACGACAAACAAATTGAATCAGATGTAACCTTCTCTGAGATTGTTCTGGGTTAATAAATTGTTTGACTTGCTTGTGTGTGCAATCAGTTGCTTTAAAATCTCACGTGACTTCGCAGTGCATGATGACGAGGCAGAATCGAAAATTAWACGAGACTTACCTGTAAGTTGAAGTTTGATTGGGATTCTGCCGAGTCATCAGTAGCACAAGAAGTCACGCCCAGACCCAGAAGRTTATCCCACCCTTGACTCTTGTGCTACAGTCCTGATAGCACACTCAAGGCTTTTAAGACTGATCTCTCGGGCGGCTAGTGCTTTCTCACGTGACTTCTTGTGCTACTGATGACTCGSCAGAATCCCAATCAAACTTCAACTTACAGGTAAGTCTCGTTTAATTTTCGATTTTATGTCATTTATAGATATGGATGGTATAAGGATTGTTAGCAATGCGTTTAATTAATAGCCCTATCCACCTGATTAAATGTTATCCACAAGATAAAATCCAAGGATAATCGATTTTATTAAATAAATTGACTTGTTGTGTGGTAGTAATATGCTTTATGAACTAGCATATTTAATGGCACTATTGATTGCAGTACTCTCCAGATGCTCACCAACATTGAAAACAGACTTGAGGAACTATTTGAACAAATAGAGATCATGCCAGCTGACAGGGTGGAGATGGCTGAAAAGGTAAGTCATCTCCTCGTACAATTGATATTACATCTACTTTTTTGAAAATATTGAATACTGAATTCTGAAATTCATTGTTGTTACATGCATTAAACTAAAATGTAAGTGAAGAAACTTTTTACAACTTTTATTAAATTTTACAGTGTAAGCCCCTTTTGCATGACAATAGATTGTTGACAAACATTGCATTTCTGTCTTGGAATACACTAGTCTATCTTTTTTTTTTTTTTTTTTACACTAGTCTATCTTCATAATTGGACAACATTTTCTGAGTTAAGCTGCATGCATAATTTCCAAAGAGCAACGAAGTACAACATATTTTTGTGAACAGTAATATCCTGCATAATATATCCTCCTGATAAAGTTGATTTACATGAATTAAATTGGCAAATAGTTTATGTAAGTTTTAACCTGCAGTGACATGCCATAGTTTTTCATACTTTTTTTTAATGACAAAAATATATTATATTCTCAGGCAAAGGAGAAAGAACGTAGATTGAGAGTGCGTGAAGAGAAGATGGAACAGCAGAGATTACATCAAGAAGATAGAGTAAGAAGAGCATTAGAGAGAGCACAAGCTGAACCCAAGAAAAAGGTAAGTCGATCATTAAAGTAGAAAACACTAAAAAGTGTGGAACACCATGGGGTGATTTACTGCTAAATAGTAATTGTCAGGAAGTATAACAAGCATTTTCTTTATCAGTTCTTACTGGTATTAGATAATTTGTTGTTGTTTTTTTACCTCTTCTAGTATGTTTACACTCAAGAAACTACATTGTATGAACAAAATGTGGCCAAATTGTGCTTGTGCCAATTTCTTTAATCCTTATCAACTAATCAACACTATTTAGTCGCTTTTTAACACAATTTTGTCACTTTTTTACAGTGTCAAATTTATCTTTTTTCACAACTGTTTCTTGAGAAATACTGATGCAGCTCACACTAGTTTACCTCTAGTTTCCACCATTTTGACTATTTAGTCGCTCCCTACCTGTCTGTGAAATACTGTAGATAGAATTATGCCAATTCCTTTGTTCCCTATAGTGTTATTTCACACAGTGTGTCATTTTATATAAGGCTAATAATTTCTTCTTTTAAGACTGGGAAACCATTGATGTTCCGTTCTGAACCACCACAAACAAGAAAGAAACAACATGATGCTGATAAGAAACAAGACAAAGAAGAAGAGGAACTCAAATATTTTTTCACATAAAATTCCATGCAATTAAATATTATCTTGCCTACTTGTAAATATGAAATAAAATACAGTTTTTATCAGTTTTTGTATGTAACTTTTAACAATTATACATATAACAATTAATTTAGTTATTTGACCACCATGTCGGGCTACATTTCTGCTCAGGTCAACAAGGGTCATTATCATTAAAGGACATTGGCAATCAAAATGAAAAACACCTCTCGATAAAAGTACTTACATATACATCTATTTCAAAAAATGTTGCCGTGGCCACGACACAGTCCACGGTCTTGAGCCTGAAAAGAATCTCGGTATTGCCATATAAAATTATATATTCAATTCTAGTTATTTAAAATACTGCGGTTTAGAGTTCTGGTTTGCCCTGTGTTACCCTCAAAACCATGCAACTTATTCCTTTGCTTCATTGACAGCCCGAGAAAACGCATGGAATTTTAAAAGAGAGACAATAGAATTGATTTGAAATCTCATAAATGA